GAGAGAGAGAGAGAGAGGTGGCTTATGAATGTGTCGTATTTATTGTTATAGTATTACATCTGTATTATAATTCTTCCGTTATGGGATTGTGTGATGTTGTGCAACGCTGTGACGGTATTGGCAACAGAGTTAACTTAGACAAACCGGATTTTGGCAAAACTTGTACGTGAAGTCGATTTAAAACAGGAGTGGTCGTGGTGGAGTGTGTTAGTTATGGAATTTGACAGGGTGTCAAAGTGCTGGACACTGTTTAGAGGTGCCCAGGACTCTCTTACGTTTTGGGCATTTTCTGCGTCACCAAGTCTTTGACGTTGCTACTTTTCCTTCCCATGATAGGATAGGGACCAGATACATATAATGAAAAGCTTACGGTCTGTCACATGTTGAAAGTTCTTTGCAATTCATTCCTGCTCTCTAGCATTCGCATGGAGTGTTAATTTTCCGGGCGGGTTTATGTCCATCAGTTCGGACATTGCCTTGCTCGCATAATTCCATTCGTTAGTTCTGCTTCCATTCTGCTGGAGCTTTCTTCTGTTGTTATTTTATTTTATTCATTTATCTTTTGGTTAAAGTCAGACTGTCCACATTATCTGGTTCAAACGACTTCTGCTGTGGTAAACTCGGTTTGAGGGGCTCTTGTGGCCTAGAGGTTAAAATGTTGGCCTCACATTCAAAGGTGCCGGGTTCGAATCCGGGTAGCGACCGAAAAATTTTCTTCTCTAAATAATTTGTTTCCTTTCACCTCCTCTGCCCCCTCCTCTGGGCTTCTGACTCTTTCTGCAGCCTTTCACCTGCTACTCCTTGGCTTCTTCTTACTGCTGTCTTTCAGCCTCACCCCTGATCTTCTGGTAGGAAAGATCTACATCTAGCCTTCTCGGACAAGGGCGAAAAATCTCGGAGGGCCCGTGTGCAAGTTGGGCACGTTAAAGATCCTTTGATGGTCTAAAATCGATAAGAGTAGGTTTCGGCCGCCATCCCGGCAAATTTAAAAATTTCCTACCAACTGAAAAAGTTTAATGTGTCCCGCGACTCATATGACCCTATGCAGTTGCGAGCGCCGTAAAACATTTACCCTCCCCCTCCCCACCCCCCCAAACCCCAACAACCTCGGTTTATAATGCGACGTTGTTTCTACAATGGGTGGATTATGCGCAGACAGACCAGGTGAATTTGGTCTAAACGTTGATGCTGGGTCGACTTCGAGTGACACATATATTATAGATTTGATTAATCAGAAATCACTCATGCTTGGCAATAAGTGGAGCCCGGTCAGTGGTGAGTGATATATCATGGGGCGATCACATCAAAGATCGTGATGAACTAGATCGATAAAATGGTTCAGGATTGACCGTAAGGGGCACTGATGGGTGTGGTGTGGTGAATAAGATGTCAGAGGTGATGCAGATTAGACAAAAGGAGAAGATGCGTCGACTGTCACTGATACAAAAGGTGTCAGAACGGGAGAATATGGTAGTCCAGGTACAGAAGACAGTTAGAGATTGCTTTGACCATTCCTAAGCGCCGATGACACGTTCCGAACCACTGCGCTCCCGTAATCAAAGCTAGTAAGTGACACAATGGCGTTTACGAGCTCTAATCACAACCACATCTGGGGAGGGGTGGACTTACGAGTTTAGTTGACTTAAAATAAAACACATTTTTGTGCATTTCTTTTTCAGCTAAACTTTCTGTTGGCATGTGCAGCGTAATCAGGAGAATGTGATGGCGCAAAACTGTCAATTTGGTGAAAATTATCGCTTACGAGGTCTGATCACGGGGATATTGAAACTTTCATTGCTTGAGGGGGGTCTTTATTTCTCCCCACTCACGTGACTCTTCAATCGGAGATGAACAATAACTTGGACTTCCTGATCTCTTTTCCCTATTACATGTGGGTACCAAGTCAAACTTTGTACCGGTACAGACCAAGTGAGCAAAGGAAGGATTGAGATAGGGCTCAGTTGCAGAGAGCCCACCTATTGAGAACGACGTCACGAACCGTGATCTACGTTGTAGACGTGCTTTTGGCTAGGCATGCGAGATTGTTCTCTTTTAATTAAGGTCGGCACAGTTTAGGCAGGCTTCCGACCCTCTTTGTCAGAGCCAACTTGGGCTGAGGGGGAGGATATATCATCCCAGCAGAAAGACGGAGACACTCGACAGCCCCCCCCCCAAAAAAAAAACAACACAAAAAAAACCAACAACCAAACAACAACCCAACAAACCCCAAGCAAAACAAAAACAAACAAACAAACAAAAACAAACAAACGACCCTCCCCCCCCCCAAAAAAAAAAACCCCAAACAAAATAAAAACAAACTCATTATTGAAATCCCGCTCTAAAGCAAAACAAGCAAATTTCCTCAAATCGTGTTTTTTTTTTTTCGTTTTTCTGGAGGTGGTCTTCTTGTCGTGAGTTGTTTGCGTATAGATTGACATTTTGTTAAAAAACAAAAACAACAACCAGTCTTAGACGTACATATCGTTTCGTCTTTGATTAAGCTAAAATAATTTACCAGGATTATTATTGTAGCGCGATTATACCTTTCTCCAAACTAGGCCTGAAATCTATGGACAGTTACTTTTTCCCAAGGGTATATTATATCTTTAAGTGAAGTACACCAAGCAAGTGGGACAAAAATAACTTCTTAAAACCAAATCCGTTACTCATCTTTATTTGATCTACACCAGTTATAATATGACACCAAGAAGAGGTAATAGGTAAAACGTAGTTGACAGTTCACGAAGGCTATGGGGTTCTTAGTAGAATACAACAATTAAACAACAACAACAACAACAACAACAACAACAACAACAACAACAACAACAACAACAACAACGACAACAACGACAACAACGACAACAACAACGACAACTACAAAAACAAACAACTAAAACAGTAACGCGATGATAATACACAAGACAACAAGATAAAGAAAAATTAAATCGATTAATACGGAAAGTATGCACAATTTCAACATCTACATTCCCCTGCTTGGATGTATTGTACATAACAGCTTGCACAAAAAAAAAAAAATAAGTTCCATCTTTTAAGACATTAAACATCCTTTGTTCCCTCAAATAAAAACATCAGCCAGAAGTACAAGACCTAGGCTTCTGATCTGTAATAGAAAGATACTGAAGGTCATTTTAAAAATCATCCATCAAAATTCTTCCATCTTAACCATCTTGTTACAAGTAATCATATGTGAGGCAGCGTGGTGGAATCAGGCTCGCGTCAATTTTTGTGCATGGTATCATCTTAAAGCTTATTTACTTGTCTTTATTTGTATGAAAAAAAATATTCATTTATCTTGAATACAAGTCGAGATATTTGCGAAAAAAGGATGTGGGGGTCACCTGTTTTCAGAGATAAAATTAGTGAGAAAATGGCCGCCAAAGATTAGTTATTTCCTTAGCTTAAGAGTCCGTGGTAACTGAAAATTTACACTTTTGTGCCTTTAATCAACGCTTTTCAGAACAATCCCCCCAGGAATGGGTTCTTTAATTGGCATGAAAGGTGCTG